GCAACCTGGTCTAGTGGAAGGTGTCCCTGCCCATGGCAGGGGGGGTGGAACTAGATGATCTTTAAGGTCCCTTCCAACCCTAACCATTCTATGATTCTATCTTAATGTTGATTCTATGATTCTATCTTAATGTTACTGTCACGCCGTGGTGCCTCGGCAGGAGCTGGGTCTCCTCACGCCCGTCTGGGTACCGTATTCCGTGTGCAGGATGAGGTGGATTGAACACAGACTGGATGTAAAGGTTAGCAAAGCAGAGGTGCGAGGTTTGGGAATGAAAGGCAAGGAAATCACACGAGTTTGCTAAAGATTGGGACTTGCCGTGTTCAGGAAAATGTAAGGGCCATGTTTTTGGGGTCTGTATTAGTGTGAGTGGGTGTTAAGGGTTTTGGGACAAGGGTGGCCAAAAGAGTACGGATCACAAGGGCAGCCTGAGAGAGCTAGAAATACAAAAAAGGTGGGAGAAAAGTGGGACTAGCTGAAAGGAAAGTGACCTGGGATGAGATGTTTGAGGAGCAGGGACCGCAACAAATTAGGCAAAAGGAATAGTTTTGGAACAAAAAGTTGGGGATAGTGTAGAGACTGGACCACGGTGGGCAGGGAGGGATGGGACAGACAAGGAGAGAACAGGTTGTTTGCTCAGGGCACAGCACCTGGAAGGAGACTGCCTTTTCTTGAAGGCACTGTTTTCTGTTGTTGTCACTCTGTGCCACCAAGAGTCCTTGCTGCCACCATAGCTTGTCACTCTGTGCCACCAGGAGTCCTTGCTGCCACCATAGCTTGTGAGACGTGAAGGCGTTACTGCACTTTTACAGATCTTGCGCTGAAGTGCAGAAATCCATGCAAAATTTACGGCTGAACATCCAAGGTGAGAAACTTGAGACAGGATGTTTCATTATGCCTTACATGGCATCTTAGATGCGAAAGCGTCCCTCCACCATCATGTGTAGCTGTGATTGTTCAGCACTTGGAAGGTGACGTTCTCTTACCTTTAGCACACAACATACGACAACGTGAGTGGTGGCCAGCTAGTAAAAGCATAACGTGCCGACTATGATGCAAGAACTAGAGACACGTGAAATCAAGTTTGTCGACAGAGTGATCGGGTTCTGAATAAAACCACCTCTTCCTGCAATGCATTGGCTAACATCTGCAGTAATTAACACACAGCAGAGACACGGTTCTTTCCCTTTTTTCATATCCGTCCATCTGCGCAGTCTACATTTTGGCATTCCCTGGTTTCTGAGCACTTAACTTTATAGCCAATACCACTAATACGTTTTAATATAAAACTAATCCTGCTGCAAAGACAATACCTACATTAATTTTATTAGCTTACATGAACCTTGTTACTCTAAACTAGTTTTTTTTTTAGGCTTCAAAGCATTGTGAAAAAATCATGATCTCATTGCAGGCAGGAGCATGCAGAGGTACTGCAGTCTCGATGTAAGGAGGGCAGTTGTGTCAGGACCACACAAAAGATCTCTGCAGGTGAGCGTGTCTGCCTGGCAGCTTCCCTGCAGAGCAGAAAGGGAACTTGTAAGTGTGCTAAGCAGAGAGAGAGGAAATCCAAACTGGGCTTGGTGATGGCCTATAAAAGATTTTGAGGTTAGTGAAAAGGAAATAGCTTATGGTTTTGATACTAGGCAACTACTGGCAATGCGGTTGCTGCACCCAGCTAAGGTTTTTTCTTACTGTTTTGTTGTAAGTAGGTTTTGAACTCTTGCAGATAGGTTTAACAGGTTTGTTACAGTGAGTGTATCCAGAAACCAGCAGCTGATATTTAAACTTCAAAGAGATTTTTTTAGAGTTGCATCAAGCTTCATCGCAGAAGACCTTGGTACGGGAACGTATAGAATAAGGCTAGTAAAGAATGAATTGCTCACAACAGCTGGAGCAATAGCAAACTGCTTTATTCTGAGCGTGACACCGTCCTGGCAGGGGAGATGTAATTTTGACTTCTGCCGGTGAGAAAAAGTGGACAACAGCCTGCTCAGAAGGGCAGGTGTAGGCTTTGTATGTAAGGACGGTAGGGAAACATTAGTTTTACGTTCTGCCCCAGAAAGTCAGCTGCATCTCAGTAAATAAGGGACCTCCGAATGGCCTGTTTTAGTGCCTGTCATTAGAAAGATGCTAAAATGTGCTCAGCTTCAAGGGTGAGAGGATTTGTTATGCAGTGGTTAGAAACTGTTGCAGTAACCTTTCCCCTGGCAGGTGTAATCTACCTTAAGGTGACTTCGTGACCCTTGAAACATGTCTTTGTGAATAAGCAGCTATACAGCTAAAAATCAAAAAATCCGATTTAACCTGACAAAAGGGTATGTTCACATACGCTGCTTGGGGAAGAGGGAAAGGTTGTATCATGTACAGGGCAATTAGAACTTACACTTAATCTTTGTTTCTAGATTAAAAAAAGAACAGGTAACACCAGAGCTGCCTTGACTCAAAGAGGGTATTTACTCAGTGCTGGAGATGAGTGTTCCAGGTACAGCAGTCACCCGAAAAGGACAGAAATTGAAAGGCAGGCTACTGGGGGGAGAGAAATGGAACAAAAGTAGGGAAAACCCAGTCAATTTAGGACTGTAACTGAAGTAAGGAAGGGATAGATACTCCCAGTATCTAGAACCAGGCGTGCGTACGTGGAGCTAAGGATGAACAGGCCAGATGCAGAAGACCTCAGGGACTCTATTTTTTCCATATCGTGACTCATGAAAGTGGAAAGGTCTTTCCTTGTTCCTGCGAGGATTCAGAGGAAGATACCACAGCCTTTCACTCTAACAGCTGTCCAGTTTGTAAAGAAAACCCCACCTTCCTGTGGCTGGTCATCATGTCCTCTGGTGGGTTCAGTGACAGCTGGCTGAATTGGTAATGGCTGGCTGATAGACTAAAATGACCACGTATTTCTTTCGCTTCATTAAAGTTAACGAGAACTAGATTTGTGTGCCAGAATCACGGAGATAAATAATCACCTCAACTTCAGTGTGCATGGGTTTGCTCGTTTTTCTCAGGCTTCTTCACTTTTCCATCTAGTGGATGCTTAATGGGTGGGCAGATGCCTTTTACACTCTGCGTTGGGTATGAATCGCGAGTCCTCTAATGGGATGTGAACTGATGCATCTAAGTATTGAACGTTTCGGAACGAACAGTTACAGCCGCTTTCTCAGGAGGGTATGATCTCAAGGTAATTTCTGGCCTGCAGAGATTAGAACCAGGGATCTGGAAGCTGAAATGAGTAGTGCAGCAATTTGGAATGTAGAGCTTTGGCTCCTGTAGAAGCAAATCCATGAGCTCAGATGGTACAGTCATTTTAACTCCTGATGTAACAATAGACATGATTTAAATGTAGGTATTTAAAGGTTACTGTGTCTGTTACACGAGATCATTCTGTTGTGTTCTGCTAAGGCTTCTTACTCCCTAGGGAACTGAGTGAGCAATACAGAAATGAAGACAGTAAAGCAGGAGGACACCCAGTCCTGACTGCTACACAGAGTAGGATGATTCAGGAGTGTGTAACTCACCTGTAATGAGTAAAGATGACTACTGCAGGCAAGAAGGGTGGCATTCTTCATACTACTGCCCCAGCCCAGGCACTGGAAAAAATATGAAGTACTGAAGTGGTGCAGGTGGAACATGGGCCTGTTTCCCAGCTACATCATCTCCTCTTCACGGCAACAGTTTGTCCAGTGCCCTAAGTTTTCTTATAAAGGCCTTTTACAAATTCTGTGTAGGGACGCGGTTTTTTGTCTGTCTTGCCTTCACAGCACCCCGGGTGTCTCTCAAGAAGTGCTGTAAGGTAACTAGAGAAAGGGCTTTTGTCCTACTCTTGTGTAGTGAGGGTTGGTCTTGATGTGGGAAGCAAGGTGAAATCTGCTTTTAAAATCCAGGCTTTTCACATGGCACACTTACACAGCGTGAGGCAGGAGGGAGTGAGCTTACTCTGTCTTCTGAATGGGCCAAAAGCCATGAAGTCACATGAGCAAAAAGCTGCGCCCAAGCTAGTGAAAGGGCAGAGAGGTGTTTTCATGGGAATACTCGTTAATCCCTGCTCATTTTAGTCTCAAGTTCACTAATCTAGTCACACTGGGCATGAATTCCAGATAAGATACATACCCTGCTTATCAGGCATGTTGACTCAGGGCTCGAGACCTGCGTTATTGTTGTCCCATGGCTTCTGGTTGACTTCAGCGTGGCGGGCAGGAAGCTCTTGCTCAGAGCCACAGGGAACGTGCCAGGCTGGTGCACAGCTGCGCTTGTGCGGTGTTTTGGAGCTGAGCTGTAACAGTAGAACAACAGAAAACCTACAGAATATCATCCTTATGTTTTCATCCTTTAATGAAATGCTGGTGCAGCAGTGCTGCCAGTAGCACGAGGGGAACCCCTGCCTTAACTCGCTGCATCTTAATCTTTGCCACCAAGCAGGAAAGACATGAAGCAGAACCTCGGGGGTGAATTTTGAATATGGTAGGATGCTTTTCTCTGAACTGCCTTTAGAATATATTGCCCTTGATTTAATATTATATTTAAGCAATGTTCTTAAAACTATTCCCCAATTTAAAATACAAATTATTACCTTTTTCAGGAAATCCAGTAGAGGAGACTTCGTATTTTCTGCTGATCGTCTGGTAGGTGAAGAATTTCTTCGTCTTGGTATTGTACTTTGTAACTCGTCCATAAAATGAGTCTTTCAGGATAGAGTAATGGTGGTGTGAGAGCAACTTCTCTACACACAGGAAATTGCTGTTTGACAGCAACTTTCTGTATAGGGACTTCTGTTCTCCGTTACGGACTGCTTTCATCTCAAAGGGTTCCAGAAACCATGTTATTATCAAACAAAACTACTTCAGGACAGAGAACAGCAGTAATAAGAGGCTGCTGTTTAAAAACAGATGTAGAGAGGTTAGAGATAATTCAGTCTTACTTTGAAACAGTACTTTTGATCTTGTGACCAGAGCTGTACAATTACAGCCTAGATGTTAACAATTGCTTGCATGCAGAAGTGCCTCCTGGCACTTGTTGTGTATTAGATTAGTAGTTCTGGGTGCATCCACACAGGGAATTTGTTTTTAGCCATATGGTAGTTACTAGCAGGGACAAAGCAATTTGAAGTTTTCACACATCTTAGTAAGTCAGAACAAAGACTGTTGGGAATGCAACATTCATCTCATTTAAATTACATGCTTAAAAAAACCACAACGCTTGCACCTACACATACACTTCCTTGTATTAATGAGGGTGTTGGCCGTTTGCTAATCCACGTTCATTCACAAGGAAAATCTGTCTTTCCCCCTCTAGCAAAGATGAGTCCAAAGACCATTCAATTACCCTTTGCTACAACAGGCAGGTTTCCTGCGATGAACCCAGTCTTAATCCATGCCTGATCCAGGCTTCCTCAGTGCTTAGATATGACCACAACCAAAGACTGCAACTGCAGTGCTTTTTGTCTTTGCAGCTTTTCCCTTGCTTAAGGATGTTTCTTGCATTCCCATTCACCAAGAACGCTAAAGGCTCAAGCCAACAAATCCCATAACTCATAGATTAAGTGACTGACTGGAGTGCCTTCTGTGCCAACAGCACTTCATAACAAACAGTCAGAAAGCCACAGCCCCAACTCATTCTGGGCCAGCAGTTCTCAGCAGATACCACTTAAATAGGTGCACATCCTGCAGATCCATTGGGCGAGGAGGGACAGCCCAGGAAACATCCACCAGCTGTGAAAGACTAGCTCAGCTGTGCATGTCCTTCCTCATGGGTTTTGTGGTTTCAGGTTCTTCATGTGCTTAAACATGCAGAGAAGATTCAGGAAGCCAACAAAGGTCAACACCAGCACTCCCACACCTTTACAGGTCTCCAGGGCAGGGGTCAGGTCCCTTCCCCACCAGTACTCCTTTCACAGGAAGGGTTTCTGGTTAACATTTTACCTTGTGTTAGGTTCCCAACATGCTGTGCCCTTTAAAGAGCATTTATTCCTGCCAACTTCTTTGAATTTAAGAGAAATACTATATTCCTAATCTGTATTTTTTATAAGAGAGAGAAACAGTGGCTATTCTGACAGGACAGCTCTTAAGAGCCTTGGCTGTACCTTATTGTCATTAGTTGGCGTGAAGGACCTCTCCCACATACCTTCTCACTCTACTGGCAGTTCTGTGCCGTTCTGATGGACGCACAGATGATTCCCCCTCATTGCTGGAAGCTGCAGCTCCCAGGCAGTGAGCTGAGTTCAGGCCCTTGTGCCAGCATCCTCCACGTGCTGGCCAGCACTTGTGCAGGTAGAGAGCTGCTCTTCACGGAAACACCTCTATCTGCTGGTCATGCCGATGCTTGCTGCAGAACCTGCTAGTCTGTTTTCCGTGTTGTAGGAGGGATCTTATGCAAAAACAATACGTAGGGCTCTCTCATTTTCCATATATTATTCCTGGGTGTGGTGCAGAACAGTTACAATTTCTTGTGGGACGTAGTCTCCTCTAAACGGTGTCTAGAGTGCAAACATAGTTAAGACTTGTTATGTTTTCCATCTAGTTGGCAGAGCTTGATGTCAAGATGTAATATAGGAAGAGAAGAAACACGTGCATGGGATTGTAGGGTAATAAAACACATCTTGCTGCCGAGAGAAAAGGAGAATGAAGTTCAGCTTGCTACGGGCTTGGCAGCTGTTAGTGGCAGTATCTCCTAAGGTCAC